ACTTTGAGCACTATTATACACGTTGTTGTGATACTATACATGAAGTCCGCCACCCCCGGACGTTTCCGCCATCCTTGGTGTAGGGGTGTGACAGATTGGTATCAGAGCACTGTTTATAGTGAACTAAGTATATCGAACCACATAAGATATACAAACTATAAATACATTGGGACTAAAGTCTCTGGTTTAAAGTTTTCAAAACAATTATTCTTTTAGAAATGAAATAGTTTCTTGTTAAAGGTATGAGTACATACATACATTCTAGTATAGTATCATTATCTAGGACAATACAAAAGTAAAACGAGGAGTTGGACACTACGAGTAGACCTTGGGATATGTAATCAGGCTTAGGATGAATATAGCCTCATCAACTATATTTATCTGAGGTGTGACTATGGTATGCCAAGGCATGGTCGTGGTGAGTAACAAGCCTAAAAACTTCCCATACAAGAAAGTTACTAAGAACCAAACATAAAATTTAAAATACTATAGGAGTATTTTGTAATATCATAACTTATGTGAAAAGTAAACAAATCCTTAATAAGAGGTCTATAGTCACTAAGTGGATACTTTAAAGTTATATATAACTTAGAAATCATGGACTTAGAATCTGTGGCCATTGCCTTACTTCCTTTTCCTTGTTTGGATGTGGACCTAGGGTAGGATCACTTATTCGAAGGTCTATCATATTTTGTTATATGTAATTAGTATGCACTATGTTGTTATAGAAGTAACTAATAAGGATCAAACCTCTATAAGTATTTTTAGGAAGACGACTAATATATGCTTCCTACCCCTTCCTATTCTCTCACGTGTAGCATGGCAAGATTCTACTTACAAGGCGACCCCTGCTTTCCTAACCAGGAAATGGTGGATGGTTATGAGAAGAATCAGAAGCGGAACAGGAGGTAATCAACCCTCCATGCATAGCAGGGTTTTCGTGAACCATTTCGACTACATCATACCTGTGCCCCGTTGGGCAACCGTGATCGAGGGTTGGAGTCAATGGCAATGACAACAAATCACCATGTGGAGACCAATGAGGGTGCTATGACCTCAACCACGGGGGACCGATTGACAAAACCCTCCCGCAAAGATTTGTCGGATCGCAAACATCGGGGATTAACATAGGGAGATTGCAAACCAAGTTCGAAAATTGAGCGTTACTACGGACCCTACCGTCTCACGTACCCGAGACTCAGAAAGAGACTACTATTTCAAGGATCAACTCTCTTATTAGGACCTTATCGCCGCTCGGATAGAGGTAAGAGAGTAACAGGGTGGACACACGGCATTCAAAGAGAGGGTGATTGCAGCCAAGCATCGATTGGCAAAGTTGCAAGGTACATCGACTTTGCCTCAGGCATCACAAGGGACGGATCGTTGTGAGAAGAGTTCATACCTCTCACAAGACTTTGTAAATTAAGTTCATGAGTATGCATTGGTTCTACTCTATTCTAGGTGTAAACACGACAATGCGATTTAAGCGGTTATACTAATCAAGGGACTTAGTTACTATCAAACTTTTCTCTTCAATAGTCTGGTGTAGACTACATCTAGGTCAAAATTTTCTCTGAAACCATAATTACTAGAATCATATTAACAAGATGAGATTAGGACATACCTATCAGACTCGAAGGTCTATTTAGTCTTAATTATATATCTAAGCATACCTCAAATGGTCGTAAGAAAGACCTAGCTTGGATCAAATTTCAAGGCTGCACTTGGATACAGAACTACTAAGATACATGAGCTTATCACCTATAGGCTCTCGTTATGAATTGTTTTCAGAACACCATGAACAACAGAATTACGTTACAAGTTGAACTAAGATAAACTTAGTTAGAAAACTCACGACGTATAGCCATTCTAAAAACTCATTTTCGTCTCACCTTTGAACACCTTGGTTGAGAGGTGCCTTCTTCGTAGACCTATAAGGTGCGATCATACCAGCACTAATGCATTGGATTCTATTAAAACTCCTCAGTTAAGTGTGCTTGGGAAAACGTGATCCTAAGATGAGTAAAGCTTAACTCCCATAAGAAACCTACTTCTACCCACTGCCATAACTTCGTCCTAGGAACGTTAGCAGAAACACTAAGAATAGTACAACAATGTGCAAAAATTTATATATGTGAATATGAATCATAAGAATGCACTTGAGATAATTATCCCCACTCACGAAGTCATTTTTCATCATGAAACAGAGCTATGTCTTCACCAAGAGGCAACCAACCAACAAACAAGGCGCCAACCCTGCAGATAGACTCTGCTACTTTTCAAGCTGCAGTCACGACAGCCGTGGCAGCCATCATGGCGCAACTCAATTCTAACCACGCCGGCAGGCGCAGAGACGATGTCAGAAATACTAACTACAATAACAATCAAGAATACCAGCGGGCGTCTACCAACGAAATGCCTCAAGCCCAAACCTACGAACAAGAAGCGGAAGTTTTGGAACAAAAAGGAGCGCAACCGATCTCAAAGACTCGCTAAAAGACAACAACCCATGGCCACCCCTACAATCAAGACAACAGTCACAACACATGCCTCAACATCAGCCACAACATTTATCGTTCAAGCACCAAACAGGCAATATATAGGAACACTCCCAAAGTGTAACAAGTGTGGCTTCCATCACGATAGGGTTTGTCGGGTGATGCACTGTAAAAACTGCGACAAGAATGGACATACGGTCCGTTTCTGCAAGGCCCCGACCCATCACCTCCCTTCAATCACCAGCACCAAAGTAGGCCCAGTATGCTACCTATGTGGTAAAACGGGACACTTCAAGAGAGACTGTCCAACTGAGAAGAATGACGGGGGAGCAGGAGGAGCGTGATGAACACACCAGCAGGAGCAGCAAGGGAACCATATTAGGACTTTTGTAATATTTCCAACGACGAAAACGTTTACGTACCATATGTTTGTAATGGATTTGGTATGCTTGCAAAAATCACCATCTTTCTAAAAGTAATAAAAAATAATATCCTGTACAAATCAAATCAAAGACACTCATATATAACCTTAGGATTATTGCTTGTAAGCTGTGATGACTTTGCATGTACATCGGGGTTAATTATAACCAAAATACTAAAGACTTGAAACAGATAATTCCAACCTAACCCCTGTTCCATGTCTAGCAGTGGGATTAGGGTGGAGCCACCCACTCGACGATTTCATCAATATCAAATTTCATACGACATACATATACCGCTCGATCATAGAGTGACCTGTCAGGGATCATGATATCAAGTATCATTACTAGCTATCAAAACACACCCACTACCAGTGCTAGACACTGTGGTATGAATCTTCTACAGTAATAATAACATCGACCATGTAGGGGAGCCCATGGCTTTCTAGGTAAAGACCATGGTTGCAGAAATCGCTAATCGGTGGACTAGCGATTAAGGATTAATCGGCTAGGCGGTGATTAATCGGGGATCATTAATTCTTAAGAAAATTATTAAAAAATTTATAAATCTAACTTTAATTCTCCAAAAAAAAGTGATTAATCGGCGATTAGGTCCGATTAGGCCCGATTAGGTCCGATTTTAACCTGCATTGACCAAACCCGATTAGGTCCGATTAACTCCGATTAGGCCCGATTAGGTCCAATTAATTCCGACTTTGACTTGCATTGACCAAGCCCGATTATAGTGACCGATTAGCAATAAATCTCATCGGTGGAGGTCCGATTAGCGATTAATCGCTGATTAGGCCGATTTCTGCAACACTGGTAAAGACCATGGAGGAAGCCCATGACACATAGGTGTAAGACCGTGGGTGGAGCCCACGACATCCTAGAGTAAGACCCTGGGAAGAGCCCACGGCATCCCTATATGTTTATATGCATGACTTGTGTAGTTGATACGATTTATGTGATTATGTATGTAAGACCTTGGAGAATTTTCATGGCATCCTTATATGTTCATATGCAAGGCTTATGTAATTGGTATGGCTTATGTGATTGATGTGGCTTATGTAGCTTATATGGCCGATATGGTTTATGTGATTATGTGGATTATGTGGGGTATGCTTTGGGGAACTCACCAAGCTTCGTGCTTATAGTTTTGATTATGGTTTCAGGTATCATTGGTTTGGAAAGGAAGGGTCTGGCTTGATTGCAGCGCACACACCTTTGTTTTCCGCATTATGTGATTTTGGTATGTAACTCTAATAAATGTTTTAATTAAGCAATATTTTTGAATTGTTGGATTAAGTAACAATTGTATTTGACTATAATAAAAATATAATGAAATTTTTAACATTGATTTTTGGGTCGTTACACTAAGTTAAAAACATGTTCAAAACAATTTACGAGGTTCATAGTTATTCCAAACGAAGCAGTGTAGAGTTCGTTTTAGGAAAATCAGATAAATATCGATTTTATAATTTGAAATTGGCGTAACTTCCTCATACGATATCCATTTTGTATATTCTTTATATCCACGGAATCATTAGAACGGAATCTATTCAAATTTCTTATCTATAGCTCTCAAATATAATTAATGCAAAATTTTTATTTTTATTGCATTAATTAATACTCATTTTGTGAATTGTTTTCAAATTGTTAACGATTGTCAATTTTTAGAAATTTTAAGGTATTGCATATAAAATTTTAGGTATAATGACTTCAATTCACTAAAAAACAAGGAATACTACACAATAGATCCTCCTTACAGTATTGTTCGTAGTGGTTTGATTGACAGACTTTGATATATTATTATCAATTGTTACACTAAAAAAAACATAATTTTAAAAATTAAACAACTAAATAAACACAAAATGAAAAGTTAAGTAACAAAACTAAAAATTAGGTGATTAAATGAAAACAAAACAAAAAATTTGATAATCTATTAAAATAATTAAAAGACCAAATATAAGTTAAATGACAAAAACAAACCCAATCCAAAATATCAAAGCAGGGGGTAAAATCGAATGCCATGACCAAAGTTGCAGGCTGAAGTACCGGAGTTCTCTCTCCCGCATACACAATGGCTTCCACAATCTCTCGCAGACTTGCATCCAAGATCCTGAACCCTTCTTCCTCCCGTGCTCTCTTTTCATTATACCCCACCTCCTACCGTCTTATCCCTGATGATTCCCATCGATCCTTCTCAACCTTTACCCCCAATTTCACTACTTTCAATCTCCCATCATCGTTTCGCACAAAACCAGTTGGCACTAGTCACAGTTTAATTAGATCAAATACCAGTTTCAACGCTAGTTTCAAAATCCAATCGCTAAACCCTAATCTTTATCAAAACCCCAAGTTTTTGTCAACCTCCACTCAGCAATCTGATCCTGAAGAAACCCAAAAACCTAACGAGAATCCAAGCCAAACCCTTGACGGATTCAAGCACCAAGAGATCACTGGACCTACTGTGGAACGCGATGTTTCTGCACTTGCTAATGAGACACGCCAAGTGCTCGATCAAATGACAAAGACAATTTACACCCTTAGCAAAAGTTTAGCTCTTTTGGGTCTGTTTCAGTTGGGTCTAGGCGCTTGGATTTCGTATGTTACCAAGTCGACTCCTATCCCAGAAGTATCTGTGCAGAGCTGCTTGGCATTTGGGTTGCCATTTTCGTTGTCATTCATGCTTCGGAGGTCATTGAAGCCAATGAGTTTCTTCAGGAAAATGGAGGAGCAAGGTAGGTTGCAGATTCTGACTCTTACACTTCAAGTTGCTAAGAATCTGAATGTGTTTTTTGTGAGGTTGAATGTGGTTTCCTACTTGTGTATTGGCGTTGCTTCTCTTGGACTGCTTGTTATTGCACTATATTGATGGCTTGTATTGATATTTTTCAGTTTTGACATACAATGAACCATATGTTGTTAGTAATTCAGTCGAAATCCCATAGTTTTCTACAATAAATATGAATACGGATTTTGAATCATGTGTTGGAGACAATGATCGTATGATATGGGCAGTTTGTTCAAGAGTTTTGTTGCTTATGGGATTAATGGATTTATTGTTTTCTTATAGTTGCATTCATATAAGAAATGAGTTGGTTTCTTTTACGCCTTGTTCCCGAGTTTCCGAGTTTTTTTGTAAATTCATTAAAGAAAAGGTAGAGAAAGAAAATGACACTTAGCACGTCAAAGTTAATTTGGCCGTCAAGATTGTGTTGTTAACTTTTTTTTTTTCTGTCAAAAAATAGTCTTGAGGTGACATGTTTGGAGTTTGGATGACTAAATGACTTGGGTTCGAAGCCTGGCAATGCCTGTGTGTGTGGGGTTTTTATCCTATATGGGGGATTTTTTTTTTTAAATCCAGAACTCTAAGAGGAAGTGGTGTCACGGAACCGCACTCCCTTCTTTGATACATAGGAGCCACATTATTTTTACCATGCAAAATGTGGTTTTTTACCACATCCGGTGAGTGGAAACCATGGTAGAGAAAGAGAGAAGTGAGAGAAAGGAGAAGAGAGAGAAAGACACATAAATAAAGAGAGAGAAGAAAGACAGTGCGGCCATTTCTAGCCACACTGCAGCAAAACCGCAGGAAACCGCACCCAGAGGCGGTGTTTGCGGTCCAGGTGGCAAGGGTGCGTCTTGAAACCGTAGTCCACTCCTTCAAGCCTAATGCTAACAAGCTATTGTAGTATTATTTATAGGTAGGGATGACAACGGGGCGGGTTTGCGACGGGTTTTGGTAATCCCGCCCCCGTCCCCGAATATGAAAGTCGATCCCATAACATACCCGATTATCAACGGGTACCCGTTTACCAAACACTATCAGGTCTGCGGATATCCCAAAGGGGTAACGAGGATCCTCGTTTAACATTCAAATTAAGAATAATTTTGATTCAGTGAGAATACAAAACCATTAGACCATTAGACTTAGTGATGCAAGGATAAAGTCATATCCAAAATAATGTTGATAATTTATAAAACCTTTAAGAGCAGACATATTTGTTCTGATACGTAAGTGGTTACTAGTGGCAAAACAAAAATAAGATACTAGCATTCATAAACCATAATATCGCGGGATAATGACTTAGGAGGGTAACTACCTCTTATCCGTATTCACATATTGGCAACTTCTTTTTTGTACATAATAAAACAACTAACTTGTTTTAACTGTTTAAATTATACCAATATTACCGGCTAATACATGTTTTAACCGGTAACTCAAAGGGAAAATGACTACGGATGGTAACTACCTCTTATCCGTGTTCAGGCAACTTCTTATTTTTTGTACATAAAAAAGAAACTAACTTGTTTTAACTGTGTAACATCCCAAAAATCATGACCAAAAATTTCGTTTTTAATTTAATACTAAAATCATAATTATCAAACCATTAATTTAATACTAAAATCATAATTATCAAACCATCGAGTTTGGTTTCTTTTGTTATTCCTATTTATAGGACTCATGTATTACATGAGTTTATTTAAAAAAAATAAACAAAAATAAATATCTAATAATCTAGAAAATTTAAATTTATAAGAAAAAATTAAAATATTTAATTATTAAAGTTGAAATATTTATTTATCTTTTAAAATTAAACTAATTATTTAAATAAATAAACAATTAAAACAACTATATTTAATTTAGAACTTTAGAAATTATAAGAAAAGTTGGCATTAATGAATTGGATATATATATATATATATATATATATATATATATATATATATATATATATATATTATTACATTTAAGTATTATATGGAATTTAATAAAATAAAAAAAACCATAAAATGATACATATATAATTTAATCTAAATTTATCACAAAATAAGCATAATACATAAAAAGATCACAAGTAGCAAAATTATTTTCATTTATTAGGATAAGTTGTTACGCATTTGATACAATGGTCTTGGGTTGTTTGGTTAAAGATACTAGATTTTTTATATCCGATTTTCTTTCCAACTTGATTTTTTTTTTTTTTTTTTTTTTGAAAAAGAGGGCAACTCCAGTAAATGCATTAAAAAGAAAATAATAGAACAAATAAAATACAAGTTAGAAGGAAGACCGACTAGCGAAGAGTTAGTTCTTTTGTTGTACCCCAAACAGCGAAATAAGTAAGAAAATTACAAAAAAAAAAAAAAAAAAAAAAAAATACCGATAGTCATAAAGCCCACAAGCCAAGACCGGCGGGAATAAACCACGACCCCTCAACCAAATAAAGTACCATGACCATTTTCATAGACTGACGGCCGTTTGCTAGGCCTAGGGATTTTCCATCTTTTGTACACCTCTTCCATACGAGCCGACCATTTGAAGCGGAGACTACACAACCGAGTTTTCAGAGAGTTGAGAATTTGATTCACCGGTTTAGCTTGGGAAGTAGTGCTTCCATTGTGATGGCGAGAATTCCTTTCTCTCCAAATGAAATAGATCGTGGCAGCTAAAGTAAGTTTCCCAATTTCAGTTTGTATGTGATTGCTTTGAAGGCAGGGTATTAGGTACTCAATAATTTGTTTCAACCTGGGATCCGGGAATTGGATATAGCCCTTAGGATCAAAAAAGGGGCAAATTTGCTAGAAACCATTGAAACCCTAGAAAACCCTTTTGCCTGGTTAGAGTCGGTATGAATATATGTTGGTTCATTTGGTTTCAATGTACCGCAAACAAGCTGACAATACCAATATAAGTATGTGCTTGTTTGAAAGATTATTTGGACACTGCGAAAAGCTCACAAAGTTGTGTTTCACCACTTTTACCACCCATCAAAGAATACATCCATGAAGAACAAAGTTTCACAAAGGATATCACATCCAATGATTGAAGTAGATAGGGTGACATTGTGGAGGAAGACACCATCCAAGAATTTTTGGATAACTCCGACGATTATTTGACGACTAAAAATAATTGTATAATTTAATTTTATCTGTCTTTTTTAATTTTTAAATCAATATAATCAAGTAAAGAATATAAAAACTCAGATTTAATGGGATTATCTGAATTCCGATATCAAATTTTGTTGCGTACGATCTATATGGATTATATCAGATATCAATTCCGCTACAAAAATTGGCAAAATCCAGTCCATCTAATCCAATTCGAACCGAGTTTAAAAATATCCAGACTTTTGTTTTGTGCGCCTTTTTGTGGGAATACATATCTCTTGCAAACTCATTATGTTGTTGGAGAACAGATAGTGGGTTAATCCTCTCTCTTGCAGCATGATTTTTCCTTTGTAATTCCTGATATTACAAGAAAAATAAAATATAGTGCTATTCACCAACAGCAAAATATTGTTGTATTGGACATAACTAACATCAAATAGGGTGTCAATTTGTTTTAAAGTTGGATTAGATATGTTCTTACAAGCCAAAACCTATAGAAACAAAGGTTGTGTTAACAAGAAAGAGTTGGAATCATGTGAACAAAGCCAGCTAACTTTGGGCATATAGAATTCCATGGGTTGTCTAAGAACATTTCTAATAGGGGGTTTTTTTAATAGGTCAATTATTTGGAATCATTTCCATTAAATATTTTCTACCATTGGAGATGAAGATAGTTTTTTTGGATCAAATGTATCAACCATTTTTAGTTTTACTAGTTGTTTTCTTTTAAGATTTGTCTTTTCTACAATTAACATCATTTATTAAATAACATTACATTTTATCCCCTTGAATTATATTTAACCATCAGATTTTCATAATTTTTTGTTGTTTTATTTTAATCTATGATATTAAATATTAAATTCGTAATAGTCTGACTAAAATTTTGTGCGGCGATATAAAGATGAAATATAAATTGTAGATTTACTACTACTTATTAATAATTTTGTTTATTTGTAAGATACTGGTTTTCGTCTAAGTTTTTTCTTCTTTTTATAAATATTGTATATGCTTAAAAATAACAAAATGGATAAAGAGGCTTTATAAAACATTTCATAAAGGTGGGTACTAAGATTTTAGAATAAATGGGCTTAAATTGTAATAAGATATTAAAATATATTTTACATTCTAATAACGTCCGTGAACTTAAAAGAAATTTTGACTAATAAAAATCGATCGTTGCATGAGTCGATCTTCAAAAGTTTCCAAACCACTATAAATACTTATTCGAATGGGTAGACTAGCAACCGCCAATCTCCCACGGCTGCTAGTCCACCCATTATTTTTTGTTTGGTTTTAAAAACCCTTGGTGTAAATACGTAAAGTTTTTTGAAAGAGTTTTTAAAAGTTGTCAATGGTTGGAGAATTCAAACTAATATATTTTTGTTTGCTAAAACCACACAAAAACCAATGTAACTATAGCACCAAAAAAAAAACAGATAAATTTAGTGATTCGAATACTCTAATGGGTTTTTTACAATGTTATTTAATATTTACTTAAAAAAGAATATCATGATATACACACGATTTCAATTAGACGTAGTTTTGTCGCAGCACACGGGCTTAGATTAAAGATATAACCCATTAATTTCATTACGTCAAAACATTAAAACATTTGCTTATTACTAGAGAGGAAACATAGAAAAACTAAAAACACACCAATTCCCAAATCACAACATAAACATTTCCCTTTTTCATATCTTTTTTCCTCACTTGTTTTCAATATTTTCATTCTCTTTTCTTCTTTTTTTGGTGGGACAATAATGTCTTTTCAAATATCCTTCGGGTAGGGGTAGGGGGTAGGGGCTAGAATCGTAGATCTGTCTGTCAATTCAGGTTACAAATATAGCCGACATCGGCATCATCTTATTACATCAACTCAAAATACTAATCATTTATATATATATTGAGAGAGATAAAAAAGCATTCGCTCCTCCTTAGTCCTTCCTACTCCACCACAAAACCCAATCAGGACCAAAAATAATC